TTGTTCTCTTCGCCGCATTATATATATGTACAGTTGTAGATACATATTTCACTTGTGTTCAAGTAATGATATATCAATACAAAAACATATTTATAAAAGATAAAAACAACAAATTGATGTTTACTGAATAGCAAATTTGACATTACTTAATTGTGCGTGAGTTGTAAACATAAACCTTTATTCAAGGCTTAAACTCGGATGACAGGCCTATAAATTTTCCGACAATTTCCTTTATAATAGATACGTTTAATTGAACGGGTTTTTAAGATACAACGTATATTTCAAAACTAATAAGTGTGTAACTTGACCACAGTCTAGTACACGTTTTAAACAAAATAAATGTGTATAAAATTAAATTAAAAACTGCTTTCAATTTCATTTAAGGACGAGGTATGATAACTCTCGAACTGGTACATATTCTCTTTATGGGAGAATTGTTTTCTTACAGTGATTCTAATCTTATCATGTAGCAAAACTTAGTAGTATTTTTATAGTATAAAATTTTAATGATTGAAATTGGATTCATTGCATTGATGAGTGATAGCAGTAGGCTCTGATTAGCGAGGTGTTTTTATATAATCTGTAAATAGATAACGTTATCTGAATCAGTTATAAAATGTTAGGTACATGTAAGATAAAATATTTTAAACAGGTTTATTTTATTTTATTATTATTTTTTTTTTAATGGCTCTGGCACGATTTGTGCATTAGCCAGCGTCAAGTATAGAATTTTTTTATAATTCGTGCTTTGTCTTTAGAAATTCGACCGTGTCCTCCATGTACGGTTTAAGCACTCGCCCGGTATCGCACAACCCTCCCAAAGGCCGAGAACAAATTTAAATTAAATTAAAACTTGCCCTCGAACCGGGAATCGAACCCGGTACCCCTCACCTAGCTGCCACTTAATAAGACCGCTAGGCTATGAGGCCCCCTATTTTATAATTTAAGGATACATTTTCTCGGATATAGCTGACATTTGTCCAGTGGCGCTACAACACTGATAGTAGTGATAGATATGGAAATCGACCTTCTATGCCTGATCATCGTCGGGTCTAACACCAGAGTTATACAATTAAAAAAATAAGTTTGAGTCTCGTCTAAAAACAAATAAATCTTATGATATGTAGATTTCCACGATGTTTTCCTTCGGGCTTGAGATAGTGTTAATTTCGCACTGTAATAAAATACGTTTAATGCGCAACCGGGCTCACTTTTAAATGTTCTTATAACGCCGTTCTAAACTTCTTTAGGCGCATGAAGGTAAACATTTTTACGAATGAAACTCAATGTGCAGCGTTATTGTCAAAAAAAGGAGAGAGCGATTGAAACCGATTGAGAGAGAGTGACAAAGGGCGAACCTAGCATGAAGCAAATAGCCATAGAGCGAGAGATTAGGGAACAAGCAAGTGAGAAAAATCGAGAGAGAGAGTGAGATAGAGTGAACGTCGCATCACGCACAGTGCCATGGAGCGAGAGGTGGGAGAGAGCTATAGTGAGAAAGATTGAGAGATATATATTTTTTTTATTTGTATCTAGTATATTTGTGAATATAGATATACAAATACATGGAGTGATCATATACTGGTACATGGTCATCTATTGGGGCTTTTACCTTAGTGATAATTAATTTAAGTTTCACTTCTGACATGTGTACTTTGTACGTACGCACTTTTTTTTATACTGTTTAGTAACTAACAAAATATGTTATCGTCCTGTAAACAAAGGAGTAACTAAGCAAGGACGCAAATGTACTTCCTATAGAATTTTCCGCTCATGTGACGCGACTGAAGATGGCAGACATATGACTGATAGATATTTCTGGCTTTATGAATATTCATAACTGGGTCAGGAAAAATATTTAATAATTTCTCAAATTAATTAATACCACTTTGGGGTAACAGTTGGATGTATGAGGTCTATAATATTGTATTTGTTACGGAGTACTAAACATTTAGTAGTACTTAACATAAACTTGTAACCCATGGGACATGAGGCGTCAGTAGTACAGCCTATAGGAATTAAATAAACTTATGTGTCGCCGCACTTTTGCGGACTTACGTTTTACATACACTTAGTCATACAAATAATCAATAGTTAATATATAGTTAGTCATAAAAAAAAAATAGTAGCTCTACAAACCTTAGCCTCAGATTACTGCATCAGTTTCGTGATAAAAAAATCTAATTGGCTTTTGATTGTTAGGGGGGTTATTCCAAAATGTATTAAAATATTTTGAATTCGAATTTCATAGTGATGTCTTCCTAAAACCTATCATTTAAGTTTCTGTAAGTGAAAATTCAATTATTTAATATTAAAATGTATATTTTAAATGTTACATAAAACAAAAAGCGCAAAAAAACGTAAGCAACACGTTAGGCCAAGACTGCTCTCATGAGATTAAAAAAACTTAAATGTATCGAATTGTATACCTCCTTTGAGTTTTTTAGTCCGTAGAAGAGTCCATCATCTTTTTTGAACTTTTCGTTTTTATAGGTTGAATAGTTCCGTGAATGAGAGCTTTGTTTATAGATTGTAGTAATGTGTCACGCGGAGAATAACCTTAACAATATCTTGACAGTGACCCTGTGTTCTTTGACAAATGAATTATAATCGATATATTAATTGTAATTTCTTTTTAATTGTGTTTTTATTATGATTTACGATTATACGCAACACTAAATAATCTGAATGGCGAAAAGCTTTTAAATTTACGACGAAATGTTACAATTCGTGGTAATTAAATACATGTTGACTTTATTAGAATTCGTCCAATAAAATCTGTTATTACTTATTATTTTTAAAATTCCTTCAAATGCCTATTATATTAATGTCCAGAAATGTGTGAGTCTTAAATCCTATTGAATTTTATTAAATTTAGACAGCTCCTTAAGTTTGAAATATTTGTCAGAATTTTGTGAACATATACTTAGTGCACGTGAGTGGACACCTAGTAAAATATGTGAAATTCCTACAAATATTATATGTACAATTCAAGCAACACAACCTTTTTGAAAGCGTATCGCCGGCGTGTACCAAAAGGATTTATTTAGCGATTTCTTATTAGTTTTACGTGTACTGTGGTGATTGATAGTGTACATGTTTACTTTCATGACATGTTTGTCTTATGTCGTACAAGATAAATTTCCCAAAAATCTATAAGGAAGGCACTGTCAAGGATGTTTTAATATTCAAATTCACTTAATAACCAGTGGTGCTACATAGGTCTGGGACTCAGATTTCTGTATCTCTTTCGTATGTTTTTTTCTAGTAGGGGATCGACTTTCTGTCACGGGTCGGATCTGTCGACTCTTTGGGTTCAAAGCATGCCGGTTTTCCTCACGATGCTTTATCATACTAGCGAAAATTAATGCGCATAGACAGAATGTACATTGGTGGGGATCGAACCTACGAGCTCAGGGATGTGAGTCGAAAACGGAAGCCACAAGGCCGAGGCATATTCGGCGTTTGACTGTAATTAATTAATTTATTTATACATCTACACATACACATATTATGAAAGAAAACACTTAGATAATATACAAAGAGATAACAGATTACATTGTTAATCAAAATTAATAGATAAAAAAAGAACACTGAAATCAAACGTTAAACTAACTACAATTTTATATTTAAAAGAAGAAATAAATTGTTACTACGGCTAAATAAAGTCAAAGTCTTCCCGCCTCCCAAAATATTTCCTCACTCTTTGGTAAAGTGAAAAATGTCTACATCTTCATAAATTGTATTGTAATTAGCTAAAACCCGATACATTGACGAATTACGCAGATACTTCGCGTTCGTACGAGGACCAATGAACAATTAATTAACAGTATTAGGTACTCTTACGACCATGTGACCGAAATAAAAATGCTAAGAAATTCTTTATTTAATATATTTAAAACGTTATATATTAGTGTTTAACTTTGAATTGACTTGACTGGTGATGACTCTGTGTCGCACAACCAAATCAATTCAATTGTAACAGAAAAAAACAAATTAAAGAAATATGTTAAATTGCAAAAATTCATAAAAAAAAACTAAAAGATTAATAAAATGAGATAAAGTTTACAAAATCACAGAAAAGTATCATAAAAATATAGAATTTAAATCAATGTAAAATATTTTCAAGTGAGGTTGATTCTGTAGAAAATAAATATAAAACTGACATTCTTACACTCAAAATATCTTTATTCATATAGGTAAACAAGTACACTTATGAACGTCAAAAAAGAAGTTAAATTAATTGTAAATTTACATTTACTACCAGTTCGCAAGTCAAGGGCGTAGAGCGGGAAAGAAGAACTACTACACTCTTTCATACAATTTTTCATAAAACTTTGGAAAATATCATCAAATTAGTTTTTATTAATGTAGGTGGCAGGAAATGGAACTAAATAGAAATGAACAGGATAGGCAAGTAATGTAACGTTAACGATCCGAGTCCTTTACCTAGCTATTTCATCAAATATAATTCAGGCCGGTAGTTGAACGACGCTGTTTAGTAAAGGGACATCTATGACATCTCTACGTCTAATCGCGGCACGATTTGTCTTTGCGATTGACCATAATCAATGTGCTATAGTCTTTTGTTTTATATTATTATCCCTGGTATCAATATCAAGTATGAGCAGTGTTGGCCTAGTTGCTTCAGCATGCGACTCTCGTGACTGAGGTCGTAGGTTCGATCCCCGGCTGTGCACCAATGGACTTTCTTTCTATGTGCGCATTTAACATTTGCTCGAACGGTGAAGGAAAACATCGTGAGGAAACCGACATGTCTTAGACCCAAACAGTCGACGGTGTGTCAGGCACTGGAGGCTGATCACCTACTTGCCTATTAATTTATGATTTAAAAATGATCAATTTGAAACAGATTCAGAAATCTGAAGCCAAGACCTAAAGAGGTTGTAGCGCCACTGATTTATCTTTTTTTTATCAAGTTCGAGAGACATATACACTAGGTATATTACCAGATACCTAACGATATTATTTCTTTGCAGACCGAAAGTGAAACATCATGCGAGGAAGCAGCAAGATTGACAGCAGATGGAGCTGATGATGATGACGAGGCTTATGACTACCGAGAACTCCCACCACCGCCGGACGGTGGATATGGATGGGTCGTTGTGTTCGCCTCGTTCATGTGCAATCTGGTGGTGGACGGCATCGCCTACACATTTGGGATATTCCTCTCAGAACTGGTCACGTTCTACGGCGAGGGTAAAGGGACGGTGGCCTGGGTTGGAAGTCTTTTGTCCGGAGTATATTTAGCAGCTGGTAAGTTGTATGAATCATTTATTAAATTTTGTTTGAAGTTATACTTCTTTTGGCGTGTTAGGGAAAAATGATTAGAGTAAATTTTTACGATGCGCGCGCACACCGTCTCAAATAACCGACACCCTGAAGTTAGCTATAGTCAACATTTTAGTTTTTTTTGTGATATTTAAATAAACTTTATTTAACTAGAAAATGCGTTATAATAAAACTGTCAATGTATTAAATACCTTTTTTCTATTGTTAGTGTAGTTTTCTACAAACGTAGAATAACATTTTTAAAAAGATTTTTATCTTGTTACGCCAAAGAAGTATAACTTCTAACGCGTGTACATTAGTACACACACCTCTTTTTATTGTTTTGTATGCTGATGAACAGTTAAAGGTTTAATAACAAAATTGAGATATTTTGCTCGTAAAGTATCTTTAAACTACTGGGCCTCGTGCATGGTGGTTTTGTGAAGAACGGCCTAGGGTTCGATGCTCGGTCGGAGCGCAAATGATACTACTGTAAATTTGCTCTTCTTCTGCTTGGCTATAAGGACCCGACCGTATGGAATCTTCTCACGTGGTAGAAAGAAAGATCGAACACTGTCATACTGGACATACACGTGGAAAACCAAAGATTACAAGTCGCAAGTGCTGTACACATGGTCACTAAGATAGAATACCTGGACTGACACAAAAAATACGTATCTATCACTAATTATCATATTACAATACTAATTATTATAATATTTTTATTGCTTAAACGTTATGAACAAACTAAGGGTACAAAAACACAAAAAAAATGTTTAAGCTGTGCCTGAAGGGTGTCGTGGTTGTGGTGTGGTACAAATAACTACACAACTAAAGTCTTATTAAAAATAATTTATACTTTCAATGGAAAAACCACCATTTTTTTTTTTCAAAAACTAGATTTTCAAGATTTGTTTTCTTATATTAAAACAATGCGGAAAATCGATATTGTTTTGTTACAATCGGTTCTTGCCAATATATCTCCTTTATATATATCTATATAGCTATATTTGTTTACTCAATTATATTTCTCATGTTTTATTAATGCTGTTTACTGTTTCAAAGTACCTTTTGATAGAAGTGATACATTGAACATCACATTGTTATAACAAAACAACGTAGTGTGGAAGTTTATATTAAATTAAATTTGTGTTCTATAGAAGACTTGTTAAGGTAGATTCATATACGTGTCGTGACATATAAGAATTACTTCACGTAAGGTAAGGTAGGCAAAACATGATTTTGTAGCAAAGATTCTTAACGTAATTAACAACGTAAGGTAGAATTTTGGTTCAAACTCAAAATAACTTTATTATAGGTAACCAAGTACACTTGAACGTCAACAGAAAAGATGATAAAACGGATTCTAAATTTACATTTACTCCCAGTTCGCAAGTCAAGGGCGTAGAGCGAGCAAGAAGAACTGACAAGAAACTGTCCGCCACTCTTTTTAATCGTCATATTCAATACGTCAGTACTCCATTTAATTCCTGCTTATACATTGTATTCCTTTCTCATATAAAGTAATCCTGCTTACGTATGCCAATGAATCCAGGGCACGTTTCGTTACACGTGGCTGACCTACCTACGATGAACATAGAGTACCTAGTAAGTAAACGAGTTTAATATTAATTATACAAGTCATAGTATATATTATGTACATTGTACATAGCTTGTGACATACAAGTATTATTGTTGATTGGAACGTTTTAGTAAGGAAGCTAAGTAGCTTGCGAATTAGCGAACTGTGGAATCGCATTCCGGTGGGATATTCCCTGAGACCTCTAACTATTCAAAGTGTACTCCTCCCTCAAAGGCCGGCAACTCATCCACTAAAAATGGATGTGCATGTACCCTTAATAGGCGTCACGTAGGCTCGTTTGGCCCCCTATTATAAAAAAAAGGTGCGTGTACTTATGTACGCGCGTAAGAAGTTATACTTCTTTGGCATTATTAAAAATAGTTTTTGATTGCATGCAAATAATTAATTACAATTAAATAATCAAAGACTGGAAAAGGAGTCATTAAAGTCAATAAAGTTCAGTTTACATTTGAAAAATTAATTAAATAAATATTTATTATTATTCTCTTACATTAAACAAATAAAACACTATTTATCTTTAAAACATTTTTATTTCATTATACTATGTATTTATTTTTAAGTGACTCTAATGTCTTCATCAGAATTTCGGTTTGTAATTTTAAATTAATCATTACTTGGTTGTGCATCTACGAGGCTTCTCCAAAACTACTTGCTTTCTGCAACAAATAAGAGAATATTAATTTAAGCTCTGTCCATGCAAAACTTAAAATTTTTTATAATTCATATTATAAATTTTTTAACACATTTATATTAATATAATTATATAAATGTGTTAATAATATAATTTGTAGCACATGCTACAGACCTGGATAGCAACTTTCTTTTATTCTATTTAGAGATAGAGATAATTTAAATATAATACCGGTGTCTTCCTTGTAGGTTTCTTTGGAGTTGTTTGGGGATTCTTGTTGTTCAGTTCGACATGATTTTCTTTAACCTTTCTTTAATCCTACAAAATAATGAAATTGTTAAGTTATGTTGTCACTGTTGTGCACACCTTTGTTTGGCTTTTTTAGTATTCAAGTTATGTCAAAACTGATTTATTACCTTGTCATTGTTGGCTTTATTTGCTTTTGGGATATCAATTGTTTCCAAAATGATTTTATTTGTAATATCCTGAAATATATAAATAACATCTATTAATTTAAGTATCATGGTGAGTGGTTCGCACTCAGGTATTAAGGTGTATTATACCCACTGTCCATTATAAGTGGGAATGGGCTCACTTCTGGCAGGACAGAGTTTTGGTACTACAAGTGCAACATGGATGTTTTGAGGTATTACAATATCTCTAACTACCCTGTAGGGGAATAAAGTAATGTTGTAAGCATATGCCTATGCTTGAAAGGTTGAACCTTGAACATCACCATACATCATATTTATAATTAACATTCCTACCTCGACACCATCACAATCAAATTCATTGAAATCTACTTCAAACCATTGTGTCTCGAGAAGGTGATGGTGGCTTTGTTCCACCTCCAGTTTTTGATGTTTCACGGCGATAAGATGACAACTCTTTTTTTGTATTCAATTTAGTGCACTTCCACTGATTCATCAATTGTTTTTTGTCTCTTGTCCTTATATTTGCTAGATTAAATCTGATGTTTTGATTAAATAATGTGGTCATTTTTTTGAGATGCAGGTACTTATTAAAATGTTTACTTCTCTGTTATATCGCTCCAAGCCTTCATTTTCTCCTTATTAGTATTCGTGCTTAAATCTTTGTTCTCAATTATTGATATATAGGGTCGTAGAATATTTCTAAAAAGTTGCTGTAACAAACGCAATAAACAAAAGCAATGAATAATGGTTCATGTTTCAGTTTTAATCAACAATAATACTCGATAATACATACGGATAGTTAACCTCAATTGTATTGAAGCACTCAGGAAGGTTAGCACAGTTTTTTCACAAATATTTTATATTATTTCACAAATATTTTGTATAATGAAAATAACTAGGTATATAATTATTAATTTTAAACAATAATTAAAACTCCTATATTTGTTTAAAAGGTAAATGTCATTGTCAGATGTCAATTGTCATGGTCATTCAAAATTCTTGTTAAGCTGCTAAGCTAGAATATGCGTGAAGTTAGCTTCACGCATATTCTATTTCTTTTTACTTGTAGTTTGTCTTATTCCCATTTCGCTCGCGCACGCTATATCACACTGCCAATTTTGTGTCATAGGTGCGCGCGCAATCGTAAAATTTCACTCTCATCAATTTTTCATAACGCGCCTAAAGAAGTACAACTTCAAAAAAGGATTGCAGCGCATGAGCCAAGTTAATTTCACAATCCCATTGTGGATGGGAAGCCATCTGTACCATAAGTTTGATACACGTCAACGTTTTATTAATGTATCAATTGAATGAATAAAAGTTCTGGTATTTGCAGGTGAAATTTATACCTAGATTAATTAATCGATTTCACGTCAATGCCAATGTTTCGATTGAAATCGCAATAAATTATTGCATATCTATTGATAATACAGTTATCATATTTTATATATTTCTATTTTTCCCAATTGTTGCCACGCAAAGAAAGCTTATCGTGTGTAATGTGATATAAAGTATGCTGTAATCGAGGCGATATGGACTCACCACAATTTTATAAGACAAATTTAATTTTTGCTTTATTTATTGAGGATCTATGAGATTTCAGTTTATAGGTCTAATTCATAAAATCCTCTTCTGTCAAAATTGTGTTTACGCTAATGATGACACACAGAAAACGAAACGTCGTATTTGGAAGACCCCGTCATGGTTTTTGGAGTTGGTTACAATGTATCTTTCCGTCTCGAAGGGCCAAAAATCAAAATGTACGGTTCCTGGGCCATCGGGGTGATTTAAATAAAAGAGGACGTTCACGTACACTCCGGCACCGATTGGTCGCACAATCCGACGCTTTGCCACACGCCTTGAAGCAACTGGCTCAACAATGGATAGTCCTAAGTCTGGGAGACCAAGACCAAGAACGGTGGGGAAATCGTCGACGAAATTCACGTTGTGTTTTTATCACTGATGAATTATTCCGTAAGAACATTGACACGATTATTCCACGTTCTTGAGGAGTAAAACGGTCCATGTTTATTTTCAGTGTATTTTACAATTGTTCACTACACAATTTTCAACAACTGAAATCAGTGTGTCAAACACGACCTTCAGTAATGAAGACTACGAAGAAGAAGATGTTTGGAAATTAAATGGAGATGGGTAGGGCACGTAGCCTGTTTTACAGATGGCAGATGGTCAAAAACGGTAACCGAATGGACTGGCCCAAAAGGAAAAAGAAACAAGGGCAGACCAATAGAGCGATTTGGTAGCTGTCAAGAAATGGATGACGACGGCAAAAAATAATATAGGATGGAAAAAGTTG